TCGGTTCTGTGACAAAGTAAAAGGAATCATTGAGATCGTCACAAAATTAGATCTCTGTTGCTCACGCATGAAAATAAATATGAAGCATGCTTTCAGTTTTTGTTTGTGCTGATTGTGTGGGAATGTAGTTAATATTGTTTCAGAGTGTGTGTTAGTAATGTGAGTTATTAGCCTTGTTTATATGGGTGATGTTGGATTAGAATACCTTATGTTGTTTTTCCTTGTTTTGATATATTTAGTGAGGTGTTTTTGTGGGAAATGCCTTCATTTGACTCTGCTGTGAAGGGTTTTTGTTTTGCCTTTTTTTCGGTCGAGAGAGTATTGTTTTTTTTCTGCGTTAAGTGTAGGAATCCTAGGGGTTGGCGTAATGAAGTTATTTCGTCGTCGGATGTTGTTTTCTGGTGTGGTGAACAGTATGGTAGGTTGCTGAGTGGTTCTTGTCGGTTGTAGTATGTTCCGGTGCTGGTATGGGACGGATTTTACCGGATATATTGTCTTGTTGTGCGACGCAATCCGGATAATTCCTAGGATTTTCTGATATCGGAATTCTATGGTTCGTATCGGATGCGACTGATCTCACTTGTCGGATCCGCTGGTTTCTGTTTGGTGGGTTGGGATCGGAACCCGCGTAATCCGGTCGACGTTTTTGATCGGATAATTGTGGAGTTTGTCGGATTTCACCGGACGGCATCCGATCGGTTCCGGTCACCGAATCGAACCGGTTTTGAAAGGGGGCCGACAAGATCCGATCCCCCATGTTTCTCATGGGAATATGAGATAGAGATTTCTACTTTTGTTATTTTAAAATAAATGGTTAGAGATCATAAAAAGGAGAGAATTTTACACCGAAAAAGTACCTCATAAATAGATATGAAAAATTTAAAACAAAATGAATGTTTAACATCTTAGTTAAGAACTTTTTAAATTAATTGACTTTTTTGTGATTTGGATCTGGTTTTCGGGTCTTTGAAAAGTTTCCGAAGATTTTAAGATTCATAGATAGAGATGATCAGTTACTTTTATCTTACGGAGTAACTGATAACGAAAAAATTACCTGGTTACTAATTGTAAGAAAGTTGTTGCTTTTTACGAAATAGTAATAATTCCATTTTATCATGATGGTGATCATCTAGTATTATTGTCGATTAGATTGCCATGGATGTTAATATTTCTTCTGCGGTCGATTATCAAGTACTTAGCAACTTTTTCATGACTAGAATTTGGGAACGTGGCTATCGAAGAACGGTAACTGATCGTTTTTACCTGCAGATCTTACTGTTTTTCCGTGGAATGAGAAATATCACTTTGTATTACTTATAATTGTTGGTACAGTCATACATAAAAAAAGAAATCTAAGGAGGCTTCGTGAAATAATTCCTGTAATTATTCATATGATGATAAATCAAACTACAATTTTATTGATACGAAAAAGACATCTCACCCGAATATAAAAATGCTAAGTTGTATTTTGTTTCAAGCGATGACAAAGCGCGTTTTTTTTTCATAGTTTACATCATTTTTCATTCACTAAGCAGCAACTACCGCCATATAGAGATAGATACAAAGAGAAAGCATATGAATAGATAGTCTACCAATGCTTTTGTCACATAACAGGAGTGATATATTAATCGATTGATACAGATATTATGACTCGTCGGTTCACCTTATGAAACAAACATTATTAGCAAGATTGTTCTTTTATCAAGAAGATAAGAGATGAAAAGACTCTTTAGTACCACTTTCTTCGATGCTTATCTTATGAGACGAGCGGTCTAGACTTCTACTGAGAATAAAGTAACCTTTTTGCTATAAAAAAAAATCAGG